ATCATCCTCTTTCTTTTCTGTTTTTAACAAATTACTTCAACTCATATTTTCGAAGTGAACATATATACATGGTTTATTACTGTTCAATTTCTTTCGATAACCAAGGTCCCACTAATTAATATCCCAAAAGTTAAATTTTTGTATTTACATGTATTTGTGTTGGGAGTGATATTGGAATCAGTGATCCGCCCCCCCCCCCCCCCCCCCCCCAAAAAATAAAGTTCTTACAAAGAAAGTCAACATTAAATAATTCTAAATATACGTACAAGAAAGTTTAGATATACTTAAGTCACCTCTACCGGCCGCCTAAGTTTTTTCTTAAGATTGCCTTATCTTAGCACGCTTCTAGTTACGGTCTTAAGTTTTAGACTATACTTAAGTCCTACTTAAGCACGGACTTAGACTTAAGTAGCCTTTATGTTACGACCCCCAGGTATTTAAATCACTTCAATTATCACATGGTGTGGGTGATAGCTAGCGTGTGTTTACATACCCATTGGTGACACAATGCACTTAAATAAACATCTATGATTGAGTTGGCTCGTGTAGCGAGCTACTCCCTGTTGACATAGCCATTTCAGAGCTGTAAAATTTATCACGCATTCATCAAGGTGATCCATACGCCAAATATTATAGTTCTTGCAAAAAATGCTTTGGTTTGAGACTTTGAGTGATTGTATAAACTTATGAGGTAAAAACTGTATAAAATGTCATACTGTAACATTATTTATGCCTTCATGCTTTTAAAGAAATTTTTTATCAAATATCTGTACGATGTACAATTACTGCGTATGAATATATGTTCAAGCATGTTAGGCAGATCTAATCTTCCCATCTGAAGTTTATTTATAATAAACCTAGAATACTCCCTAACACAAAAACCTGCTGCTCTCATTAGCTGCAGCTAGTTGTTGTTGAAAATCTATTTTTAGAATCCAGATTTGCTGTGGGAAACTTTAACCTAATTATTCCATAACACTGACCACTTCAGCTAATGTGCTTTAATTCATTATAGAATCCAGGCAAAAAAATACAGAAGCCCATTAGTTCCAACCTGTATATTTAAAGAAAAAGCAATATACACTTTATTAGGTCACCTGAGTAACTCAGGTGATCTATTGCAATCCGTTTTCGTCCGTCGTCGTCCGTCGTGTGTTAACATTTGAACATTTTCAGCTTCTTCTCTGAAACCACTGAACCAATTTCAACCAAATCTGGTATACAGCATCTATGGGTGGAGGGGAACAAAAATTGTGAATTTCATGGTCCCCGCCCCCCTGGGGCCTGAGGGGTGGGGCCAAAACCACTAAAATTAATGAAATCTTTAAAAATCTTCTTCTTTACTCCTGGACATCAAGCAGGTAAACTATTGGCATGAATGTAATGAGCATTGAGTTTTCTACCAAAATTGTGAAATTCATGGCCCCAGGGTCAGGGGTTCAGTGCTAGGGCGGGGCTCTATATAGATTATATAGTGAAAATGCATTATTTCTAAAATCTTCTTCTCTGCTCCTGGGTATTAAATACACTAACTAAGCACATAGTTATGATGAGCAAGAGTACCTCTTCCAGATTTGTGAATTTTATGGCCCCAGGGTCAGGGGTTCTGGTGTTAGGGCAGGGCTCTATAGATAATATAGTGAAAATGCATTATTTCTTTGAAAATCTTCTTCTCTGCTCCTGGGTATTAAATACACTAACTAAGCACATAGTTATGATGAGCAAGAGTGCCTCTTCCAGATTTGTGAATTTTATGGCCCCCAGGGTCAGGGGTTCTGGTGTTAGGGCGGGGCTCTATAGATTATATAGTGAAAATGCATTATTTCTTTGAAAATCTTCTTCTCTGCTCCTGGGTATTAGATTAACTAACTAAGCACATTGTTATGATGAGCAAGAGTGCCTCTTCCAAAATTGTGTATTTTATGGCCCCCAGGGTCAGGGGTTCTGGTGTTAGGGCCGGGCTCTATTAATTGATTATATAGTAAAAATACATTAATTCTTTGAAAATATTTTCCTTTGCCTCTGGGTTTTATGCCAATGATCCAAGTATATATATATTTATGATGAAGAAAGGTGCATCTAGCAAAGTGGTTTTTAATGCCCCCAGGGTCAAAGGGGGGGGGGGGGGTTACATAGCCTGAAAATAAATTAATGCTTTGAAATCTGCTCTTTGGTATTAATCAACCATTTTATGATAAAATTTGCAAAATTTTGAAATATATGGCCCTGGGTCAGTGGTTCCTTTGGGGTGAGGTTCACAACTGGTTATAAAGTGGAAGTGCATTTTCTCTTTGTTACTCTGATCTACCTCTGGGTATTAAGTAAATAGAGTAAGCATGCTAAGTTAATAATTATGATAAGCAATGGTGCCTCTTTCAAAATTGTAAATTGTGAATTTCATGGCCTGCGGTTTAAACACGAACCAAATTTAATTGTTTGAAAGTTGTTACACAATACTCAGGTGACCTATAAGGCCCGTGGGACTCTTGTTTATGAACCGAACGTGGATCAGACATATAATATTCAATCTCTTAAGATGCAAAATAAACTGAGTATATCAAGGTATGGTGCCCAGATGTATGAAAAAGCTTAATTGACTCGAGGGAGTCAACTCGCAGGCCCTTCAGGCCTTTGATTTAGTTATTGTTAAGTTAAGGTAAACAGGCAGGTTTTAGAGCTGAATATCCATTTGGCCCTTATGGCATGAAATGATATCGGGATCGACCTCAAACGTCTAATGTCAAAATGGTGCAGGATCACTAGACAGAAAAACGTGATGTTCATGTTTTAGATTTTAATGTTTATTAAATAAATATCAAAGCGTAAGTAAAAATATTCATTTTTAAATGTTGTTTTATTCGTAAAACTCGCATTATATAATTACGAGGGTTGATCCAAAAGTAATGTCACAACTTCGATAAAATTGCTATTAGTTGACGTAAATTAAGGAAACTATACATGATCGAAGCTACATATTACAAAACAGTTCTGAAAAATTCAAGTTAAAATGATATATACTTTTCAAAATATCGAACTATTTACAAAGTGCAATTATGGTAGTCGCTGCACCTAAATAACGTCATATGATAGATACGCGGCGTCATACACTTAAACGCTTCCCCTTCGTTTCATTAAAAATATTTAAGATTCACGAAAACATTCACATATATTTCTCTTTTTAAAAGAATTATTGGCACCCATTGTAAACTCAAGTCTTTACATAATTTAGTTATCTGTCAAAATTCTTTGAACAAACCATAAGACAAAGTTTCGCATATCACTCTAACCGTCTCTCTTTTCGGACAACATCAGACACCATTTCAAGAACGTTTCCGCCCGACTTCCCTTTTTCTGTCCTCTGCTGATCATTCAGTGACCCATGATCCGTTAAAAATCGCTGAAATTATCTATGAACAAGTCTCTTTATTACATTCCATCCTCTGTGTGTCTGATTATCATCGTGACTGTTTCTACGGGCAGTTTCCCCAGTTTGAAGAAAAAACGCATTATAGATCGTTTCAGAGTTTTTTCTCCACTTAGACATTTCTTTTGTTCAATCCAGCAGATTAAAACACTAATGTTTTTTATCAGAAAGCAATGACGTCATTTTATTTTCAACTTAATACTAGAAAATGTCGTAAAGTTTTGCCTTTTAAAATATTGGGCGATTGGATGCTTTTTAGCTCACCTGAGCCGAAGGCTCAAGTGAGCTTTTCTGATCACATTGTGTCCATCGTCCGTCCGTCCATCTGTCTGTCTGTGCAATCGTGTCCGGTCCATATCTTTCTTACAGAGGGACATTAGAATCTACTACTCCACACAAAGATTGCCCATGACCTAAGGGTGTGTCATGACCTTGACCTAAGGTCAGTTGGGGAACTTCAAGGTCACTGGAAGAAAAATTTCATAATTCGTGTCTGGTCCATATCTTTCATATAAATAAACTTGGTAGGTTTTCATTTCACATAAAGATTGCCTATGACCCAAGGGTGTGTCATGGCCTTGACTCAAGGTCATTTGGGGAAGTTCAAGGTCACTGGAAGAAAAATTTCATAATACGTGTCCAGTCCATATCTTTCTTATGAATAAACTTGGTAGGTTCTCATTTCACACAAAGATTGCCCATGACCCAAGGGTGTGTCATGACCTTGACCCAAGGTCATTGGGGAAGTTCAAGGTCACTGGAAGAAAAAATTCATGATTCGTGTTTGGTCCATATGTTTCTTATGGATAAACTTGGTAGGTTGTAATTTCACACAAACATTGCCCGTGACTTAAGGGTGTGTCATGACCTTGACCCAAGGTCATTTGGGGAAGTTCAAGGTCACTGGAAGAAAAAATTCATAATTCTTGTCCTGTCAATATCTTTCTTATGGATAAACTTGGTAGGTTGTCAATTCACACAAAGATTGCCCATGACCCAAGGGTGTGTCGTGACCCTGACCCAAGGTCATTTGGGGAAGTACAAGGTCACTGGAAGAAAAATTTCATAATTCATGTTTGATACATATCTTTATTATGGAAAAACTTACTTCTGAAAAATCCAGCGGGGGGTATTTTGTCCCGTTTGGACAGTTCTAGTTTTTTATGCCCCCGTCCCCGGGTCAGGGGTTGGGGGGGTACAAAGTCTGAAAATAAATTAATGCTTTGAAATCTGCTCTTTGGTATTAATCAACCATTTTATGATAAAATTCGCAAGATTTTGAAATATGTGGCCCCAGGATCAGTGGTTCCTTTGGGATGAGGTGCACAACTGGTTATAAAGTGGAAGTGCATTTTCTCTTAATGTTACTCTGATCTACCTCTGGGTATTAAGTAAATAGAGTAAGCATGCTAAGTCTATAATTATGATAAGCATTGGTGCCTCTTTCAAAATTGTGAATTGCAAATTTCACGGCCTCTGGTTTAATTAAAACACAAACCAAATTTAATTGTTTGAAAGTTGCTGCACAATACTCAGGTGACCAATAAGGCCCGTGGGCCTCTTGTTATTATTTCAGACTACGTGCCCATTGGTCCACGATTCTCTAATCTAGTCCTGCAGGCTCTGTTGGTGCTGTTAAAGAAAGCCCCACCAGCGGTAAGTAGACATTATTTCTATAACAGTGCTTTTGTAGCCAAGGGCATCCGAGCCACACATGATGTGGCTAGGATGGGATAGCCTCTGGGAGTAAATATAATGCAATGTATTAATAATGCAATGTATTAAGTGTTGCTTACCTTTTTTCTTTGTACATGAAAAGTTGAACTTCTGTATCTTAAATATCATCACACTTTTGTCAATTAAGAAATAAGATATCATATTTAGAGTTTCATTTGAGATATAACATGAAGTCAGTCACGTGATCAATTTGTTTAATGTTCAAAGATTAAGAAATATGATATCATTTTTTGAGTTTTATTGGGATTTATTATATCTCTACTGATTTTTCACTATATAAGAGTAAATTGATATATTTTGCTGATTCCCTGAAAATCGCTATAAAAAGACTGATACCCTACAGAAAGGTGCATCAGTTTGATGAACTGATACACACCTATTCGGAACACCAAGCGATTTCTTTTAATCATATGAAAAGTACTGATGTGTTCCAAAAAAATAATGAATATTCATAATGCAGCTGTATAAGGAGGCAGGGCCTAATTTTTACGGGAAAATGTAACTTGTTATTGTGACGTCATCCGTGTAAAATAATGTGCACTGAGAGCTATCCACAGATCACATATCTGTGTCACAGTGTAAATTATTGTTTATAAAATAAAGTTTCTTGTAGATACAATTTTTTTGTATCTAATTGATTCAAATGCAAAGACATTTTATTGTACTTATTTATTTTATCTATATTCTATGTAATCAATATTTCCTTTCTTTTCATTTCCTTTGTAATTGCACTGTGTTTAAATTAGAATTGCAGTTACTTGCTTTGAAAATGTCTAATTTTTGTATCGGTATAATAAAACAGTTAAAGTGGCACAGTGACTCACAAAGGGGAAAATTGACAAATGTAGAATTTTTGCATGACCTCTGTAAATTTTGTTCAATTCCTTAAAGTATTAGGTTTCAGAAAATTACAGGTTTCAGAACTTAAAAATTAAATTTTTATGGGGAAAAATAAAAGTAAAAATAATTTTTGTCTGCCCCAGAAAGAAAGTATTGCAAAATACCCTGGTACTTCTTCCTCCCTATTATACGTGTACGCAGAAAAGTGTTGAATAAGTTTCCATAGTTACCATGGTCTCAGGTATCCACGAATGAATATAAGTAGACCAAAAAATTTGATGTAATCTTTTTAAAAAGTTGTTAGAACATATTTCTCACCTTTGCATGCTCCAGTTGAATTTTGTTTACAAGTTTGAGCTAAAAATAAGAGTAGCGTGACCTTGACATAAACGAAACAACGAAACGGTAGATACAACCTTTGTTTTTCTGGCACTTATATTGTGCAGTCAATTCTTGCAGTTTAATTGTCATATCTTCGCTATATACTCATAATTTTCGTAAGTCTTTCTCTGTATGCTGCAGATATCTTAAAATTAAGATATGATTTTGACTCACTGTGCCGCTTTAAAGTATATCATTGAGGGAGTCAGCAAGATTCCAGTTCCCCTCAAGCAAGCCTATTTCCCTCGGCTTCACCTCGGGAAATAAACTTGCTCTTGGGGAACTGGAATCTTGCTGACTCCCTCAATGATATACTCTAAGTGTATAATAACATGAAGTCATTCACATGATCAATTTGTATAACACCCAAAGATTGAATGTATATCTAACTTGGCTACCTGTATCAATGTACTCTTGCAATATTACACATGCATTTTGGCTTTTTAGGGCCATAAACTTTTGGTGATAGGAACTTCAAGTAGGAAAGATGTTCTCCAGGAAATGGACATGGCACAAACATTTGGGACAATTATTCATGCCTCCAACATATCCAGTAGTGAACATCTAATGGCAGTTCTGGAGAATGTGGATGCCTTCAACAGCAATGAACTGGAAATTCTCAAACGAAAAACCAGTGGAAAGAGGTATTCATTGCATGTAATAACTCACAAAAAAACTTATGCATGTGAATATTATTCATTGACATATGCTATTAACATTTTTAAAATGTAGTCAAATACAACGATTGAGAAAGAGATATTTTACATTAGTATTGTAACATGCTGTTGCATTCACCTTCCTATTTCTGATTTTTTTTTAAATTAGTAGATTTAAACATATAAAGCCATTTTATAAGAAGTAAATCCTAATTGTGTTGAATGTGAAATCTTTTCAAATGAAAGATATATTGTCACATTTTAAAATTCTGATTATGTTGAATGTTAGAAGTTAGATGAAATTAAAATGATTTTTTTTTGTTTCATTTGTATAGGTTGTGGATTGGTATCAAGAAATTATTAGTTCTCATAGAAATGGCTCGACAGGTAGGCAGTGTTTGCAAGAATGGAAATCATTTGAACAAAAAACATAATTTACATTATTGGAATTAAGAAATACTGATCTAATTATGATTTTCAAAATCAAATTATCTGTATCTACATTAAGGAAACAAAATTTGACTACTGAAATTTCAACCGACAAGTGTTTGATTTATTTGTTTTTTACATTTCAGATTGATGAGTCACATAGAATACCTAAGTTTCTGTGTGTTTTGGAAGAGGAAGGGGGATTAGAGATGACTGTTTAGGTTGGACTTTATTATTTGTAAATATTGTGATAGATTTATGAAAAAAAATGTTGTTGCTTATGAAGTGCATAATTGTTATCTATTTAAAACTTGAACATACAGTTTACACTGTAGTATTTTAGTAATTTAATATAATTATGTACACTGAAATGACTGTCATATGCACAAATAGAAATGAATGGTCAGAAAATAAATTATTTGTAAATTTTTATCTGTAACAGATACTAAAAAAAAAGTTTTTTTTGAAATGCAGCATAAAGTTTAAATGCATGCTGGTATATGTCCTTGATGGGTAATATATGTTTTTGTGAACATAGCAGATATATGTAACAGAAATCTTAAGTTTTGTTGTGTTCAGGCCAGTATAAATAAATAGTGTGTTTCTTATTCCATCCTGAGAATAAATAGGGTGGGTAGTTAAGGAAAACATTTTATTTTGATATTTAAACATTTTATTGATTAAAATTCAACAGGGAAATCCCTATCAAAATATTTCCAATAATGTGGATAGAATATCCATTTTCTCAAACATGGAAGTGATCCAGATTAGGATTTCTAATAATTAAACAAAATTTCTTAATTCCAAAAAGATATCTGAGAATACAGTTTGCAGTGTCAGCTACCTACCTACCTACCTAGTCCTTGTTGCACCCGGAGGCACATAGGGCAAGGACTAGGGATTTCCATTCCTCTCTATTCTTTGCAATCTTCTCCACAGTGTCAGCTGAATTGGCTCATATATTTTAAGTAAGGACAGTCGGGGGACCAGAAACACACAATTTATTTATCTTGGCCCCATATAGAATATAGCAGATGTTTCTGATTAAAGCAAAGATTTCATTTTTATACTCACCATCGGGAATTGTTCCCGGTTTCTCACAAATCGGACCTTTCATTATTGAAATGTGCAATTGCAAATTTTTTATATGTTCTCTCAGTGTGAAATAGGTCATTTTATCACAAGTCTTCACTTTGCTAAAATAGCGTTAGAGGTTTGCAGACATATAGTTGAAGGCTTTTGTGGCAAAACTTTAATAGAAAAGAAGCTGAATGTGCTTTCTGATATTTTTGTATTGTTTAGGGGGTTTTCCTAAAATAATTAATTGTATCAAACATTCCTCCTAAATATACACCTAGAATATGTTGTTATTAAAATTTTTAAAACTTTTTTATTTGAGATTATGTTAAATAGGAAAATTCAAAGGAAATAAAGATGAAAAGAAAATGTTCGTTGCTTTTTATTTGAAAATGATAAAAAGATTAAGGTTACCTTAGTCACTGTATGACCTATATACTTGTATTGCTCTTCTGTTTGTAAACTTTTCAATATTTTCAGCTTCTCATAAACAGCATAGCCATGCAGTTTCAATTAGTTTTACTGTAAAATATCTATGGATAAAATGGACCATAAACTCTCTGGGTCCATAGAGGTGGGACCAAAACAGGACATGCAATTTTCAAAAATATTCTTTAACCAAAATTAGCCAAAAGTGTTGTCCTAAGCATCAATCCTTCTACCAAAATTGTGAAAATCATTGTCCCAAGTTTAGGGGTTCTGGCTGTAGGGACTTGGATACATTTGTAGTGAAAAATGCATAAATTCAAGTATCTTTTCTGCTTGTAGACGACTCAGTGTTAACTTTGTTAGAACTCATCTCTAAAGTTTTCAAATTATTCATTTCATTAAATAAAACTAATCGGTCATATTATATGTGTTGTCAGAAGTATACAAGTTAAATACTGTGTATATAATACACACAAAAATATGTAGGTTTTTACTAGATGATAAATATGTGTTAAATGCAATATGAAATAAATTAAAAAAGGGAAATAATTGTTAATTTTTCCTCTAGATGTATCTTGAGCAAACTATTCAATGATGCAAAATATTTACTTCAGAAAAGTGGTCACACACAAGAACAATGCCGTTACATTTCGGAATCTATTTTTAGTAACAACGCTTGACCAGAAAATCTCACGATGACATTTTTCTTAAATGATATTCAATGATCTTTAATTTGATATAAAACACAAGTGGTAACTACTAAATTTAACATTTTACTTGTGGATGGTAATACAAGTATATCTGATTTTATCTGAAACCTGATATTATCAAGAAACTTGTTATTCGCCTGTAGATACCCTTCTTGGTATTTTGTCTAGAAAGGAAATTAAAAGAAACGTATGATTTTACATAACCTTTGAAGTTTACTTTTTTTTTTAACTGTCTAAGAATTTTTCAGTTTGACCAATCATGTCACGAATCACACAATGGTTGTAACCAGTTGGCAGGGGATGCTTAATTACTCCTCCACCTGATACCATCTTTGATGATTTCATTTAGAGGCCCGAGTATTCTCTGATCCTAATTTGTTTGTATTGTTTCAATGGTCTTTTGAGCTTTATATCTGTTCGTCAACTTCATGTCTCATTTTCCACATAATTTTGTTTTAAAAGATTATTGTTAGGCTATGCTTACGTCTCTGTGCATGCTTTAAAAGTCCCATCACATTTACATTGTGATACAGTGTATTACTTGAAAGATTTTCAACACTATCGATATTGTCATTACTTCCATAGGGAAAGGCCGACCCTAGTTTTCTAATCCAATTTCTTCTCGTTGTCTACGGAAATGTGTACTTAAAGATGGAATGTTAAATTATCAGTTTGTGATGGTAAATCTTTTCTAGAACCATATAATTCTCATTGACAAATTTAAATGCTTGTGTAAAAGTTGCTGACCCCCACTGTATATTTGAAATATATTTCCTGATATTCTTTTATTAATGTATATTCGATCAGTGCTTATTATCTATTCAAGATGTATTATTAAAGTTAGGTACTATCTCTTCAGACAATGTTCTGATACATGTAGTTCCATTTGGTCAGTAGCTACTACATTAAATAATTCAGGCACGTAGCAACAGGGGTGCCGGGGGGGGGGGGGGCTGCCCCCCCCCCCCCCCCACTTTTTTTGCCAACATTACTTTTACTATTGGAAATGTTCATTGAAAGGCTGGTTGGCCCCCCACTTTATAGTACACTAAGTTAATATCAAGGAAAATGTAGTATAGAAAGCAGGAAAGTTGGTACCGGAAGAATTTGGCATTGAAAAAGTTGGCCTCTGTGTGTGTGTGTAAAAAAGATTTTACTTTTTATTTAAATCTATTCATTAAATAAACAATCTTCATTTCTACCAAAGCTCATTTCGAAATTCCAAACACTTCTCGAGATATTCTGAAATTAAAAATGACCTGCATTTTTTTTACTCATATTGTAAAGTATTTGATTGAAAAGAATTTCATTAGCGAAAGTAGGTACCCTATGAAAAGAGTTCCATACCTTTATTTTTTTAACACCTCAATTTTTTTAAGCGACTTAACAGCCTGTGCTTCTGCAATGAGTAATGGCCAATTCTACCACGATTATTGCCGAGATCAAAGAAATGCCGCGTACATTATTCTCCAAAAATCACGAACGTCATCAAAAAAATATCAAATCAGAAATTCGTATCAAACCTGAACAATTCAAATGCATGTTTGGCTGTAGATTGAAATACTTGTTTAGACCACATCGATGTGTCGTCTTTTGCATATGTAAATTTTTTCAATTCCAAGAATCTAAAGCAAGAAAAAAGTAACCTTGGACCCCCTCGGAAAACGCCGGCACCCCCCCCCCCCCCCCCGATAATCGCGAATTTGTGTTTAAATTGGCATGAAAAGTCAGAGGTTTGAAGCACTATAGAAGTCATCGACCCTCCCCTCCCCCAAATAATAGGTTTTTAAAGTTATGGCGTGTTTACGTTGTTTTTTTTTCTTTTTGTTTGTTTGTTTTATATATAGGGATAAATATTTTGTGGTACATGCATGATTATTCCGCTTACGTGTGATTGATTCCCAATTACTACTCATATCTAAGAACGAAACAAGATGTGTTTGTGAAACACTATGCACCCGGTGGGAACAGAGTTCGAAAAAGCTATTTTTAGCAATTAGGTCACAGTCAAGGTCACACGATCATTATCCTTGCTGTCATTTGAAATCACTTAAGTAGTGGAGTACGCATACAAAATATGAAGTCTCTATCTCCTATGGTTCAAAAGTTATGGCGAAAATTTGAAAAAAAAAACTATTTTTAGCATATAGGTTACATTTAAGGTCAAAAGGTCGTTGACCTTGTTGGTACTTGAAACAACTTAATTAGTGGAGTATACATACTAAATATTAAGTCTCTATCTCCTATGGTTAAAAAGGTATGGTGAAAGTTCGAAAAAGCTATTTTTAGCATATAGGTCACAGTCAAGGCCAGAAGGTCATTGACCGGTGTTAGTTGAAAGTGCTTAACTAGTGGAGTACGCACACCAAATATGAAGTCTCTATCTCTCACAGTTCAAAAGATATGACAAAGGTTAAAGTTGACAACAACTAGACAGACAAACAGACAAACAGACAGACAGAACAAAAACAATATACGCCCCGAATAAATTCGGGCGCATAAAAAGTAAAACTTTCTAAATACAAGTAACAGCTTTTCAAAAAGCTTGCCTGACGTAATCAATCAATATCTGTAAGAGAAGTGATAAACCTTTTGAGCAATACTTTTTTGTGTTTGAAATATGTCTTTTTATTTGAGAACCTTGTAAAAATATTTAATTATTTAACTTGTAAAAGAACGATGCCTTTGCTGCATTCTGAAGAGTTGTTAACAGAATGGTTAACGTATGTGGGTTTTCTGCCAATCGCAACTCCTCGGTCCCACTCCTCGGGCCTTATCTAGGGAAGGAGACCACAAATGTATTGTTAATTTATACGCCATGACACCCCCCCCCTTTCACAAACTTTGAAATAAAAGCATGGATATTGTATGTAGACCTATTTTCTGTGTAATATGGAGTTAACTTTATTAGGGCCCCGCAAGGATTTGCGGGTGCCCTATAGTAATCACTCTGTCCGTCCGTCTGTCTGTCTGTCTGTCTGTCCGTCTGTCACTCTTCCGTCCACAAATTTTCTGTTTTTTTCTAATAACTTTTTTTATGGTTGCCCAATCAAGTTCAAATTTGGTATGGTAGTTCAGTAGGCAGAAATACATATTTTGATGCTAAGTTTGGTTCTCTATGTCTTCTGGTTTGGAGCTGGGGTGGTTGGGTAGATTCCTTAACTATGCATAAGAATGAATGGGCAACTTTTTTTATGGTTGTCCTATCAAGTACAAATTTGGTATGATAGTTCAGTAGGCAGAAATACATATTTTGATGCTAAGTTTGGTTCTCTATGTCCCCTGGTTTGGAGCTGGGGTGGTGGGGTAGATTCCTTAACTTTATATACAAAAGCATTGGCAAAGAGAGATAACTGCTGAAGATATTCCTATTGTAAAACTGAATGCTGCTATGAGTCCCTTGGGATTAATTAGCTTTCCTCCTGAAGAAAATCCAGAGCATTATCTTTATCTGTCAAATTGAGATGAATTACCACCTCTGTCTGCAAATGAAGTTTGTTTTGAAGTTAAGTCAATTTGGAATGCTATGAACACTCTGAAATGTGGATTTAAATATTATAATTTTTTATAATTTATATTTGTTAAATAGTTATGATTTCATTGAATTCTAATAACAAGAAATAGATTAAAGAAGATTTTTTGAACCATTTTTTGATTTACTTTTTTCACTTTATGTTAATTCAAGCATATTAATTTTTAGAATAGCTGTATAAAAACCCCATTCTATCATTAATACTGAAAAAGTTCTTATTGTACTTTAGAAGAAAATGATGAGAGAGGTACAATTAATCCCTTGGGATTAATTATCTAGCCAGCTGCAGAAAATTTAGTAGGCTTTTCTTTATTCTGTCACTTTAAGATTAATGAAAACCTTTGTCTGCAACTGCTGTTTGTTTGAAGTTAAGGTCAAGCCTTCATGATATTTGCATTCATTCAACTGAAGGCTGGCATTTTATATAACACAAATTCTTCATAATTGTTTAAATATACATTAAGTTGTTCTTTACTGCCTAATGTAAGTACAAGGATATTATTTTCAGGTTTTTGAATATTCAGGAATTATTTTGAAATTTTAAGAATACAGTTGATGTTGCTTATTCTTCGTACATTTTTTAATCATTCCGTAAGCTGCACCCTATTAATTCTACCCCATGGCGGGGCCCTTGCTGACTGGTCAGTTTTCTAGTTCAATGTAATGATATTATCTAAAATATACTATAAAAGGGACTT